ACAATAATTAATAATGATAACGATACATAATATACCGTGAGAAAAGAATAATCGCTGTGAATAATAATCTAATTGCGCGGGCTTGTTCGGTACAGGCTATACGCACTATGATACAACGATTATGTACAAAATAATATATACATACGTGTGTGTATATATATATATATATGTATATATATGTCCGATGCGACGACACTCTCAAGGGTTTTTAACCCTCATCTACTTTCACAACAATTATCGAACTTCTAGTACAAACTATTTTTTTTTCGCCAAGCACATTTTAAGGCCTATTTTACCGGCGTATTTCTTTTTCTCTCTCTTTACCGGCTAACGACACGCTATACATCGCTATACGAAAGACGAGCTACTTCGAGTGATATCGTACATGAGGGGGGAGGAGGCTTCTAGGCTACGTACACAATCAGACATGAAACAGGTTTCGCCGCCCGAGGACCGTTATCGTGGTCTCGATGCGAGAAACAATCGATTTCTAACTGCAGCCGATTCGTCTTACCTGCGGTTTATTCTACGAAGACAAGAATCGTTCTCAAAGCGAGAGTTCGGAGTGATGCTGCCTTTGATATATAATCAATATCGAATTCGGTGATCGTTATAAATGAACAAATTATTTCACGAAGGCAAGTCTAAATCAATTGTTTGCCAGCAACCTCCTCATAAAATAAGAGATGTTTATTTAAATTTTTCCAAGAAAATGAGATCAATTAATATCGTAATGATACTCATCCAAAAGAAACATAAAAAAAAATTAGTTTTGATTCAATTTTTATGTTCTCATATCTAAGTAAGAATATTATATTCTTCATATAAAAGATCTTTAATCTGGAGTTAAACAAAAGCAATATTTGCAGTGATATAAATTCAGTCATAAAATAAAAATATTTGTCTTGATTTAAGACTAATTTTTTTGTGAATAATGTGAATTTGAAACATCATTTTTTACTGTTTCTGTTATCATAAAATAAGATTTAAAAAAACTGAGATATTTGAAATATAGTAAACAAAAGAGAAATCTATACTAATGTAAGTAAAATTCATTGTTCAAGATTAGTATAAAATATACGGATTCAGTTTATCTGAAATAACGTGTTTTTACTTAGACGATCGTGACGCGACATCGTCAAATAACCGATGCGCTGATAGTGACAATAATATGACGATAATTAGTACAACATATGGGAAATTTACGGCCTGAATAATATGAAATCCCGACCGGTTTAGTGAAACGTGACAAGACGAGACGACTCGCACGCTCGAGCTCGCTTCAGCTACCTACCCTCCCATTGTGTGTAATTACACGCGATAACATTATTACGATTACAAGGTAGCACGAGACGCCGGCTAGATGCAACCGGCCCTTTCCTCGTCAATAAGATGTTACCTGATCGCGTATTAACCGACATTAATCCAGACCATCCGAGATTCCGAAGGCGCGTTACATCGCTTACAAACGCATGGAGCAAAGAGAAACGCGCTTCTCCATTTCGTCGACACGTATGCTCCCCGTGAAAAAAATGTCTTCTCTTTCTCTCTCTCTCTC